TCTTTGATATATAAGTGGGTTTTGATTATTTGAGTGCTATATAAGCTTAAGGAAAGCTTATATGAACTTGAATCATCAAGTAAAGAGAATAAGAAGAGAAATTCTATTATGGGTTTAGAAATGAACTTTTGATATAAAGAGGTTTTTAAAGTTGTCATGAAGAATTTGACTTGTCAGTAGTTTGTTTAAGAGATATAAAATGTTAAAATTGGATTTAGAACATGATGAGATTTGAGTATGATTCTTGAAGCCTAGGTAGAGGATATGATTTGGAGATTTAAGATGTGATAATGAGTAGAAATGGGCTTAAGTATGTGTGTTTGAGTTTAGGATATGAAAGGGGTTGAAGTATGGCATAATTGAGTTAGAATGAAGTGATTTTTGTGCTAAAATGTAATTTTTAGGCCGTGTGCATCGATACAGATTCAATGGGTATCGATGCACTCTCAACAAAATTAACATCGAATGCAATAAGTGCATCGATTCATAGGGAGTGCATCGATACACCCATTAAAATGGAAACATCGAATGTAAATTGTGTACCGATGCATGGGTAGTTCATCGATGCACCTGTTAAGGTATGCATCCATACACTGTAGAATGCACCGATGCACTTCAATGGGAAATGGAATAATTTTTTTTTCAGTCTAAGAATTGATAGATTATAGTATATCAATTGGTTACTGATAAGTATTAATACATGATTGTGTAGACATCGATCGAAAGCAAAGTTCGGATAGGTCATCAGAGTAAGATATGCAAGAAAGAGAAAGAGCTTGGTAGTGTTATTAGTGATCAGGTGAGTACATGATATGAAGTGTAGTTATGTTAAGGAATTATGACTTACGAGAAGACTAATAATGATATTAGGTAATATAAGTACCCGGATGTAAGCTGGTAGTGATATGATGTTTAGAGAAATTCGAGTCTATGCATATGTTTAGATGTAATTGCTTCTCTATGTTTGTGATCTAGGTGAATATGCCTTGTTGCATTACATGTTATGAGATATGTGTTGTATGATAGAGATCTATGAGATATTGATAATAAGTCATAAGATTACATACATATGTAATATAAGTTAAAAGATAAGAAACAATATGTTATATGCATATGAGAAAAAGGTATATGTGAACTATATGAATTGGGATAAAGAACTATGTGATGTGACCAAGTGTGAAAAAGGATGAATAATGTGAATTTCATGGAAAAATGCTACGTGAAAGTAAACTACGTGACTATGTGATCATATTATATGTGATAAAGAGCTATGTGAAAGAACTATGTGATATGAATATGTGAATGTTTAATGAGGTAAAAGATAATGCCCATGTAATGTATTATGAGAGCTATAGGTATATTTGGCATACCAAGAGTCGAGGTCTATGCGGTCCTTCGGGACATATGTGTTATATGTGGTCCTTCGGGACATCTAAGTGGTCATTCGGGACAAATTCTACGCGCCCATAGTGGGAATTATACGAGCTGTAGTGACAGCATAGTGCACAACCTCTATATACTCACATACCTTAAGTGCTCAGTAGTGTGCATGGGCTAACCAAAAAGATAACAATAAAATGTGAGTTGTAATAAGAAATGTGTTACATGTTTTATATGATGATATATGTAAATGTGTGTATATGTTACAGGAAAGAATGTGTGTTATGAGTTATGGCATTTGTTATGTGATATACATGAATATATGTTAATGAATATATATGAATGAATATCAATGACTCATATGATGATGTAAGAACATGTTATAAGATATAGAATATGAAAATAAGAGATCATATGAACAAGAGATAAGGGATAGAAATGATAATCATATAAGAGTATGAGAAAATATAAATGATGACATGCATGTGTGTATATAATTGATACATGAAAAAGTATGTATACAAGTATGACGTTGTATTACATGATATGTACATGCATTTGATAATTTATATATGTATTTATATATCTCACTAAGTCTATGACTTAGCATGTGAGTGTTTCACACGTAGGTTCGGGAAAGCAGAAAGAGAAGCTAAGAGGAGCAAGACATGTTAGTTTCTCCTTACCGAAGGTCAGATCAGAACCTAAATGAATAACATGTATTTTGTTATATATAATCTAGTTGGTATGTAGTTAAAAGATTTGTATTAGATACGCTCTGATCAGTTTTTTAAAACCATATATTTTATATCATAGAAAGTAAAGGATTTTATTAGAAATATCAAATTGAATCTTGAGTATTTTGTAAAAGTAAATGTTTTGAGAAGTTAATGTGACACCTCAGACTCGTATCCGGGTCGGGTACGGGTTGGGGGTGTTACAGGAAGCGTGTCAAAGATGTCGGATTAGATCAAGAGAAGGAGGACCATGAACACGACCAACCAATGGGAGACGCAATGATGTAAGAAGCTCCAGTTGGAGAGGATGTCACAATTAAGACAGTGATGGAATACATGGTCAATTTTTGGGAGCATATTGATTCCCTTGTGAGCGAAATGCGAGCCGATATTTCATCATTGTGCGATAAAGTCTCTATTTTGCGTAACAAATTACGTCAACAACATCAAATGAGTTATGTAATTATTTATTTATGTTTCTAAACATTTACACGTTGTAAAATGTATTTTATTTTTTTTAACAGATGTTGACAACCAAGCACTCAATAAAGATGACGATGAAGATGAAGAAGAAGATGATGATGATCCAAACAAGTATATTGTGTCTGCAACGCCGCTTGTAAGAAAACTTGTAATTTTTTATTTCAATGTTGTCCTTGCCTACATCCCAAGACATCCAAAAGGTTTTAATTCTGTTCATTTGTATCCATTATTTTAACATATAAGTGTACAACATTAATCTCATTTTCTTCATGTTGTAGATGTTATCCTCAGAACATAAGTATATGAATTTATGCATTTTTTTGTACAGAATTTTGTTTTTGCCATTTGGTCTTCCAATATGAGGTTAGAACTGTTGAGCAATTAATTTACTATAGCCACATTCGTTAATATACAATTAAATGTTAACATTAAATGTTAACATTCAAACTTGATTACAATCTCAAGCATAACATCGACCGTGTACTTGAGAAACTACCTTTGTTATCTAACCACTTTCTATTCATTTGTCTATGATTCCTACATATTTATGTTCGACTGTTTGTAAACAGGATCAAGGAATGTGCAAAAAAGAAGATAATGTTATCTACTGTAAAGATCACAACGAAGTTTGGAACGAGTACCCTGATTTTAATGCCCTAAATACTCCGTTGGTAAATTATTTATAATTCGGTAAGTTAGATTTATGCCATATTTTTCCAGTTAAACAGGTGTTCATACATTGATTGATTAACAATTTATGCTTTTATATAGAAAAACAATTACATATGTCCAGATCCCTTCGACGTTGCTTCCCATTTGAACGACAATGCTCTAGGTATGAAACAAATCTATTCTTGATTATGCTAATTTAGTTTATTGTTAGTAAAATTGCACCTAATTAATTTAATAATTGAAATTATTTATATATGTCCTCAGAAAAAGACGGTAACATACGAGAGTATTTGGAAAATTTGTTGAAGGCGCCTAATGTTCTGGACTTCATTAGCAATAACCCTTTTCCATCGGATTAATTTCGTTGTGGGTACATTTTTTTAACATTGTTATGTATAAATTTGTTGTGTATGTATGTTTTCGTTTGATTATATTATGTATATATTTTCATTCGATTTAAAAATACTAAAACATATAACACAGTAAATGTGTCTTTTAATATTACACAGTATAACATATGACTTATACAGTAAATATTCCATTCGGATGGCCTGTGCATAACAAAACAATCTACCTATCTCTTCCATGTGAGTACTATATTCCCATGTGACATGTGTGACAACCCTATCAACTCACAACTCAGTTTTGAACTGAATCAATATTGTCTTTTAACCGCTTGATGGTTCATAACGCATGTTACTTGAACAATATGAATCAATTATGCAACTTCCATGTTCAATTTATCACTGCATTTCATGTTCATTTCATATTTAACCAAAGGCTGAATTTCAATTTCAATTTGAGTTTGAATTTCAATATAAAATTCGGCTCCACTATAAATATTAGCTTGAGCCTTTGTTCCATCCAAACAACAACTTACTCAATGGAAGCATCGGAAGGTAACAACTTACCTTTTTCAAAACTTATTAACTTAGACAATATGCATGTTATCATTGATTATTCCTAATTTCCATTGTTTTTTTTCCAACTTTTAACGCGAGGGAAATCCCGACCATTTAAATTTTGGTTAACAAGAACGAAGATTGGATATCCGAAGAATGTCTTCCGGATACTATCTATTTTAGGTAGCTCATTGAGATAGGTTAACCCTAAATTAAAACTATCTTAGCTAAATATACTTTATATAGAAGCAACTGCAGATTTAAAATCTCAATGGTGATGCATTTGGTTCTCAAACAGTTAAAGCGTCAGAAACGTTTCAAATGTATGATCTGGGTGGTATACGGGATATGCAACAAATGACAACTAAAAATCATGATAATTGAGGGCTACAACTTGTAATAATAATAAAAATAATTGAAGGGTACACGCGTATAAACTATCGATACTTTGCTAAATTAACAATGTAAATGGTAAAATTCTACATGTGCAATGATAATAGGCTTACATAACAAGCGTCTCAACTTGTCATTTACGACTATTTTCATTATACCGGAGAAATTTTATTCGTTTACATTGTTAATTGTATCAGGGTATATGCTTTACATGTGTATCTTCCATTATTTAACATTATTATTAAAAGATCTAGCGTTTCTCGAGATTTTTTGGATGCATTTTGTTGCATTACCCGTGTACCACCCAAATCATAAGTCAGAAATGCTTCTGATGCTTTAAATGTTTGAGAACCAAATGGATCGCCTTCGAGATTTTAAATATGCAGCTGCTTCTACATCAGCTATGTTTCTCTCAAACGGTTTCGGTTTACAGTTATCCTATCTTCATGAGGTGGATGAAATGGATAATATTCGGAAGGCATTCTTTGCCTACCTAGTCTTCCTACTTGTTACTCAAAATTATGATGGTCGAGATTTCCCTCGCGTTTCATTCAGGTTGATTGCTCCAAATATATAATGACATTTTATCTTCGAATCGTTGTTGGTTAATTGGTCGGGCATTTTATATCCATATTTGCGTCTCTGTATACCGAGACATTTGAGGATTATTGAAATATCAATACTAGTTATTAATGTATTTTATATCTGCGTGCAAATGTATCGAAACAAATTATTAAAGAATCGTTTTCTATAATCTCCACAACAAAGTTTCCATACTTAGAATTTCTAAATCGATTAAAATTTGAGAAAACGGTAAAAATTTAAAAATCGATTAAATATAACAGATTGAAAATGAATACAACCAGTTTCTCTAATTTCGCCTACAAAGTATCGGTAACTTACAAACATGTATCGACACATAAAATTTTCAAACATAAAGTTTCCAACAAAGTGTCGATACATTTATTAAAAGTATCGATCCTCAAAACATCGAAACAAATTATTATAAAGTAATAGGTAAAATATACCGGTTTAATGAGAGAATAGGTAAACAAATGTATCGATACATTTATTAAAAGTATCGATCCCAAAAACATTGAAATAGATAATTAAAATGTAATAGGTAAATTTACAATGTAACCGGTAGATATTAACCGATTTTTTTATAAAATAGGTCTACATAATGTATCGACACGTTTTAAATTTGTGTCGATACGTTTTGTCCAGAATGAATGCCAACGAGGTGCACGCATAAAGTATCGATGCATTTAAAATTGTATACATCCCAAAAACATCGAAACCGATGATTATAATGTAATAGGTAACTTTACAATGTAACCGGTAGAAATATACCGGTTAATTAGAAAATAGGTCTACATAATGTATCGACACTTTTTAAATTTTTGTCGATAACTTTTGTCCAGAATGAATGCTTGTCGAGGTGCGCGCATAAAGTGTCGATACATTTAAAATTGTATCGATCCAAAAAAACATCGAAACCGATAATTACAATATAATATGTAAATTATCAATGTAACCGGTAGAAATTTACCGATTTTATGAGAAAATATGTGTACATAATGTATCAACACTTTTTAAATTTGTGTCGATACTTGTTGTCCAAAATGAAAGCCAAACGAGGTGCACGCATAAAGTGTCGATACATTTATTATATTTATCGATCCCATAGACATCGAAACCCATAATTATAATGTAATAGGTAAATTTACAATGTAACCAGTAGAAGCATACATGTATAATTAGAAAATAGATCAACATAATGTATCGACACTTTTTAAATTTGTATCGATAACGCGTGTTTTTTCCCTTCATTATTTAGATGTCGATAAAGCTTTTAACACCATCAATATAAACCCCAAATCAAAAAACCATAAAGGCAAAAGAGAACTCTTCCACTCCGACAAATACCAGTGTTCATAATAGTTACGATCAGATCTTCATGTAAATTTATCGATATTATGGTATTCAAATTAGGTTTTGATTGATTTCCAGATTGGACAGTTCGTTTTCCCATCATGTGTTCGATATGTATGTTGTCGAAACCCTAATTTTTTAGATTGTTAGTCTTTAAAAATAGGGGTTAGGTTTTAAAGTTTGGTATTTTTGAATGGTTATAGGTTGAAAGTTAAATCTTTGTCCACGAAGATCAAGACCTTCAAATGGAGCCCCAGCGTATCAAAATTGAGGAAAATCGAAAGCGACTAGTAAGTATCAATGTATTCATGTAATTGTTCTTGAAATGGTAATTGGATTAAAGTATTTAATAACTTTTAATTGATTACAAATTTCAAATCTGTACAGTCTGACTGAATGCCAAAGGATAAAGGAAGCTCGTAATCATGTTAACTGCATAGCCAATAAAACCCCCTTTGGGTCCAAATGGTAAGCTATGAATTGGTAAGATAAGCTTTCTTTGAGGGTTTAGGGTTTAGAGCCATCCAACGTAAGGAGTGCATGATTGAACATTATATATAATAATTGTGTTCAAATGTTGAAGAATTGTTCTTAATTTTATATAAGGATAGTTTTAATGATATACGTTCACGTTTCGAGACTAATTAGTTAGATGCATGTAATACCCTATATACTCGAAACAGAGCACAAGAAATTAGGCACTTAAAGATTTACCAAGAGTGGTAGCTTTTTCTCAGCATGAAGACCGAACCTATAATCAACTTTGCAATTATGCTTATACTGCTGAAGAGAACCTGCTGAATGATAGTATTTGCACACAACTGCAAGCATTTTATGGGAAATCCTTAGATCTGTGTTGCATAATTTTAGTAGAGTAGTTGGGTTTAGGGTTTAAAATACTTGCAATTGTGTGCAAATCCTATAATTCAACAGGTTCTCTTCAGCATGATAGGCGTAATTGCAAAGTTGATTTTAGGTTCGGTCTTCATGCAAAGCAAAAGCTACCGCTCTTGGTAAATCTTTAAGTGTCAGATTTCTTGTGCTCTGCCTCGAGGATATAGGGTACTGCATGCATCTAACTAATTGGTCCCAAACGTGAACGTATATCATTACAACTGTCCTTATATAAAATTAAAGAACAATTCTTCAACAACTGAATACAACTATTATATGTAATGTCCAATCATGCACTCCTTGCGTTGGAGGGCTCTAAACCCTAAACCCTCAAAAGAAGCTTGCTTTACCAATTCCTAGCTTACCATTTGGACCCCAAGGTTTTATTAGCTATGCAGTCAACATGATTAACCTGGATAATCCCAGTTACAAAATTGATTCCGGCCATTATTTGCGGGAGACTCTAGTCTATAGATTGTTTGACATATTAAACGATCTCGTAAGCCACAATCAAAATAGACTAAGAGAGGAAATTTTGTAAATGTAAGGGAAATTTTGTATACAATTCATAATTTTGTATACAATTTATAATTTTGTATTTGAATGTAATTATGTATAAGACGAGAAAAATTAGCAATAGGTTGTTGTACATGTTTCTTATACACAGTAGGAGTCATGTTGATACTTATGATATATGGAGATCGTTGTCATCATGTGCGGGACAGAATGACCATTCAATTTTGTCTTTGAAAAAATCAGTTGATGTAGGCTGTGTGCTTGTATTCAAACTGAGCTTGACTTGATGACATGTTAGTTTGTTATGTCCCTCACCATTGCAGAAGCCACATCGTCTAATTTTCTTCTCGACCTTGTTCTTTGGTACTTCTTTTTTCTTGTGTTATTTTTGTTAAGGGTCGCGAACGTTATTTACTACACTACTCCGGTTGACTGAATCATTCACACCAAACGAGTTTTCAAATTATTCTGTTAGTCTTTTAATCTCATCTCTTATGGTTTTGAAAGATGTGTCTGTCTTTGATGCAATGTAGCATAACCTACTTGATGTGGCACGTAGAGCAGCGAACCTTTCCATTTGCATTACTTCTGGAGGCACATTCAAGTCAACAAAACTAGGTGCAGAAGCCTTTGTATCCTTAGTCCACCTACTTTGAATCAAAGACCTGAGAAAATATGTGTAATCCAAGTTCTTCAAAACATAAAGTTGATGGCGACATGGAAGTCTGACGGTCTCAAATTTTTTGTAGGAGCAATTTAGGGTTTTTATACGAGAATCAAAACTAATTTCAAATGTCCTATTTTTTTCTTTGGATTTTATCAAAATATAATTTTGACATTCATCTGATAAGGACTGAATCTCTTCCTGAATCCGGTACAATGTCTCCCGTTGAAGTTCTTCTTGGAACGCATGAAAAGATTCGCGCGTATAAATCTCAGCGGCATGGCTTTCAAGGTCAACCAGTTTTGTGATCTGGAAGGGCTTTGTCTGGGAACTTAAGTAATCCGCTTTCAACTCATTCATACGTATTCTACTAAGTCCATCTTCAATTGCATGAACAACATCTAAATATGTCTTCTTGTGTTTTAGTGCATTCGCGAGTGAAGCATTCATAGATCTGTACCTTTGTGTTGAGCGAATATTGGCAAATAAATGATCGGTTAGATATGCTTGTGCCCATAAGTAACGAGTATTTCCTTTCTCAATCACCCATGGATGCTTTTCGACGTTGAATTCTGAAATATTTGAACGCCATTGAATATCAAATTTGTCGGTTGTCCACCAGGAAGCCATGCATTTTGAGAATGCTGTTGTAAATTTTGGGTCACCAATGTTAGCTTGTGCATTGCGAGAAAGATGCCAAGAACATAATCTGTGCTTAGCATAAGGGATAACAGATTTGATAGCCCTCTACATTGCCCTATCCCCATCGGTGACAACCGAAATAGGCGATTTATTCATCATGGCTTCTAAAAACTTTTGTAGCACCTACTCGAAAGATTGAGACGTCTCGTCAGTGATCATGGTAGTAGCAAACACAATTGTGTTATAGTTATGATTGACACCGACAATAGGCATAATTGGTATATCATACAAATTATCTTTGTACGTTGTGTCGAACGCAATTACATCACCGAAGCATGTGTAATTTGATCTCGATATAGAATCCGACCAAATAAGATTATGCAATGCCCCTGATTCGTCTACCAAGTATGTCACAAAAAACCGGGATCATCATTTTTCTTATAATCAAAGTAAGAATAAGTGCATTCACATCCCCATCGACAATTTCCTTTGCTTTACCTCTTTGAAGTGCATTGTAGAGGTCTTTATGTGTAAATCCAACATTATGATAGCCCCCTGCCTGCTACGTTAAATAGTTCATTACTTATGATGTGACAACACCGACCTCTTTCAATATTGTTGCCTCATCGATATCAGCCTTACTTACAGCTCTATTAGAACGCATAAATGGTGTCATAGCAGGTGTGCACAATGCATGATTATATTTATGATAAGACTTACTTATAACCCAGTGATCGTTTGTATTTGTTTCTGTAACTACGACTCTAGCCTTCCATCTGTTAGAGTATTGCCCAAAGACCAATCATATGATGATTGTAATAATACTTTTATTTACCGATTTTATTGAATAAAGGCATTGCCGCTATTATTTTCAGTTATATATATGTGTTTAACATAAACAGGA